AAATTGAAAAGAAAATGCACATTCTGTGCATTTGTGCATTTGCATCATATATATGCATAATACCATGCCCATTATCTTGAGTAGTAGCAAATTAGAATAGAGAAAGAACAGAGAGGAACAGAGAAAGAATCGAGAAAAACACAGAAAGAATAGAGAAAAAATTGAGAAAGAACATAGAAAGAGTAGAGAAAGAATTGAGAAAGAACAGAGAAAGAACAGAGAAGAATAGAGAAATGTGATGTAAGGAAAGACATTCATAATTTAAGCAATGAAGAGAGAAGGGTAGCATAGCGGGTTTACTTACTGAGCAATTAGTGCTCACCCCGTTGTTTTAAATATTTTTGCAGGTAGTAGGTGAGATACGGTCGCTAAGAACGTCACGCAATGGAAGGGTTTGACAACACTGCGAGTTACTATTTTGTGACTTTATTATATTATATAAAGAAAAAAAATTAGATATGGGCCCATTATTTTTTACTAATCTATGTATATATATATATATATATATATATTTTCTTATAATACTGTTTATTTTCCAAGTATATTAGCTAGAGAGAAAGTATTACATAGTTGCTTGCTGATAAGAGTGTAATTTATATATTTTTATTCCTTCCATATTATGTTTTTTGTTATGTTTTATGCCTAGTTGAGCTGATTAGAGCTTATTTTGTAAGTTTGGTATATTTGGATAGACTTTAGGAAATAATTGAGAAAAGATTAGAAAATTCCAGATTTTCCAGATTTTTCGTTATTCTGACCAGTGCTACGTTTTTCAGGTTTTTCAGGGAGCTAGATTCCTCTATTGCAAAAGTGTCTTTCAGAGAAATTAAAGTAGACGAATCAAGCTTTTCAGGAAGGTATTATGGGCGACCTGGAATCCTAGTCGCGGAAGGATTCCTTAGCTGAGTATTGAATCTTTGAACGGGCCTAACTGGAGCGTCAGATATCGAAAACGGGTGATTCAAAAGCCCAGATTCATCTACACATCATGGACTACAATTTTCATGAAGTGATGGAACCCAGAAAAGATCTTTTACATTGCGAGAATCCTGGTGCAAGCTGGAGACGAATTCTGGAATCCATATCTGATCAGATTTTATCAAATCTGGAAGTCTATCTTCTAGGAAACGTCTAGGAAAGAAATTCCATGATTCGGGGAAGAATTAAGGAAAACACATGTTATTTAATTAGAAGTTTTTAGGTTAAACGAGGGGAGGATAGTAGAGTTTTAATTTTTGAGAGTTTTTGCGTTCTAGATCAAGATGTGCGGCTAATTTCCTTCTTCAGTTCAAGGGGATTTTGGAGCCTAATTTCATGTCATTGGTGTAACTTAACTTCAGTAATGTTGTTCTCAATCTCGTTTTTATTAGAATTGTTTATGTTATTCTGATTTAATTGTCTGTGATTTCTGTTTGAGTGATTTAGTTTTGGCCTGCTAAATGGTTTAATTAGAATTTACTTATTAGAATTAGGAATTGTGATACATAATCATCATTTTTCTATTCAACGAGTGACGCATGATGATAGCTGATTATGGACAAGTTTTCGGTCTATTGTCTTGAATAACATAACCTAAGTTAAATAATCCGAACTTGCGTGATTGTTGCTTAGATTGATCTATTCTCTTAATTCTTAAGGCTGCCATTGAATTAAATTTAGAGAGCTTGTTCTAAGTTGTTCAAGGGTTAGTATCTACTCGAAGAGCTTGTTTCAGTAGTGACAAACTAAGGGAGAATTCGGGTAATAGAGCTTATTGTTTCCTAGGGTCAATAGTTCCATAATGACGAGATAGAACAATGTTACGGTTACTTTATGTCCAATGCATATTTAGGTGGATATTGAACCGAGAACTGATTGTTTAACCTGATATTTTATTTCTTTGTTTTACTTTAATTTGCCTTGATTACAAACCACCTTTCATTACTGTTGTCAAGTTTACTGTTTAGAGTTTAATTAGCGTTTCTATTGTTTCTATTGTTTTAGAATATAGAAATTAATCGAGTCATTCCCTGTGGGATCGACCCTTGCTTGCCCTTTATACAATTCAATAGTTACGTTAGTAAGGTTAATTAATTTGGTGCATTCGGCAAGCTACCAAATTAACGGCACCAAAATTTGTGCAGACCCCTAGCACTTATCTCTATAGACCAAAAGTCTTCACCTCTCCTGCCTACAGAAACCGGGAGCCTATTGGCCACCACTAGCAGTCGCTGCTTCAAAGGCCTTCCATCTGCCCTTTCAACTCCGTCACTCACCCTTGTAGACACTTCCAACTCTTGGTCAACAATAGAGGGTCCCAAGTCGTCATTGTCTTTTACCCTTGGTTCATGCTCATATAATTCAGGGCCCCCCATTATTATCAGTCGCCTCAATCAGAAGGGATGCCCTGCAGCTTTTCCTTAGGTCTCTTTCTTTCTTATCTCTTAAGAGCAGTTCCAGACGATTTGTTGTGCTTGGACCAGGGGAGAAATTACTGTTGTAGTTGTTTCCAGGCATAAGCTCGCTCTAGAACCAACCTCCAATACCAAATTTATGAGTTCTCACAACAATTGTGCTTCCTACACTTTTTTCAAGTAAATTAGGTTCTCAGTCGTTAAAATGATGCACACTAGGTTTTAATAATCAAAATATCGGGTACCAACTGGTCAAATCTTATTTAACATTGGCTTTAACATTCTACGAAAGTAAAATTTCTTGCATTTGTAATTTGAAAAAGAACAAGCATGGAAAGTAGATAAATCAAAAAACACACAAACAAATGGCAAGAAGTCAGATAGAATGACAAAAAAGAGGAAGGCATCCACAAAATTATATGAGGCAACAGAAAGTCATCTAACATAGAGTCCTGGTTACTTAAGCCATTATCAAAATCCAACAAACCCAATCTCTTAACATCTGAATTCTTCCTTTGACCGCCTGAAGAAAGTAAATTAATAAAAAAATGTTTGGACACAAGTGAGATTTGAATGACCAGATCAGTTACAACATGAAAATAGGTTGGGTTTACTTAAATTTGTGAACTTCGATTTACTAACATTTGTGAACTTCAAAACACGGACTGGAATCGGACGAGAAAATGGTGGAGAAGAATGGACTATGGAAGAAGAAGATTGAATGAATGAACGAAGCCGAGAAGAGAAGATGCGCGCAAATTGAAAGGGGAAATTGGGGAATTAGGGATTGGGAATTAGGTTGGGTTTATATATATATATATATATAAATAAATAAAAAAATTTGTCATTTCTGCTCCTCATTATTTTTTTTAACTAATTTTTTAGTTACTATTAATATATTGCATATTTTGTACATCAAGTGAATAAAGATAGGTTGACAAACACATCTCGCAAACTTTTTCTCACAAACCCCACGTAATACTTGAGTTGGCAGCCCATCAAAATTGTCACAAAACTAGAACTCAACCGCCACTCAAACTGTCGCAAAACTAGAATTAAGAAACGACTCTTCCTTTATATAGAACGACAGTTATGAATGAAGGAATGGTTGTTCCTTACATAGAACGATAGAACGATCGTTCCTTGGATGGAATGGTCATTCCTTAGATGAGCCGTTCCTCATGGAATGGCTATTCCATCTCCTATGAACGATCATTCCTCATGGAATGGCCATTCGTTAGGAATGAATGGCTATTCCACCTAAAGGAACGACCATTCTATAATGGAATGACTGTCCTTCCTATGTAATAATCATTCCTTTCTCGTGGAATGGTCATTCCTTATATGATGTACGGCCGTTCATCCTTAAGCTGTGGTCATTCCTTATACGATGAACGGTTATTCATCCCTAAGGAACGATTGTTCATGTCTAATCAAAGTCATGAGTTAACATGGTAATACCAACTTAGTGCCACATTGGGTTTGTGAAATTTGTTTGTCAGCGTAGTATTTAACAGCTAAAATTTTAGTTGCCAAATTTCGTATGGCAAGAACACAAAAATTGGGTGCGAACATGAAAACTTCAATTAATTCTGGTGACTAAATTCAATTTAGTTGCTATAGATGCGGTTTTGTAACTATTTTTAATATGCACAAAATAATTTGTTGCTAAATATACCCTGGGCCCTTTGTAATTGTTGTAAAAAATTTGGATATTTCAATAATTTTGTTATTCTATAACTAATCAAAATAGTTACTGATTAATTAACAAATATTTATCATCTAATTTAGCTATTATTGTGTAGTTGCCAATAATTGTTTTCTGTTAAAAAAAAATTAGATGCGAAGTCATATATTTAGATGCCAATTGTTCCGCTTTACCGGGAAAAATTTCCGCACAAAAATTGTCAACTAAATAAATTAGTCGCTATTGTAAATTGTTCTGCAGCTGATCAAATAGTTATAAAATATTAATTTTAGACGCCAAACATGGGAATAAATGTTAGACGCATAAAGTTTTTTCTTTTTAACAACTAACAATTTTGTTGCTAATTGTTGTTTGAAATAGTCCTCTGCCTTAGATGTTGAATGCGTAAAGGTAATTTAGTAAAATTGTATCATGATTATTCAATTACTTGAAGAATGTACCTTTTAGTGAGAAAAAATTAGTGGTGAATCCAAAAAAATTGGATGCTGAATGCGTAAGGCTAATTTGGTAAAAGTGTTTCGCGACTATTCTATTAGTTGAAAAATATATCTTTTAGTGAACATAAAATTAATGATAAATTCTAATAATTTTAGACGCTGAATGTCGAATCCAAATATGGTAAATTACTTTCCCCTTCTATGAAATTAGCGGCAAAATGTTAGTTTTTATGAGAAAAAAATTAGTGGTAATTAAAAGCATTTCATTAAACAAAAAAATAAAATCTTACTTTAACACAAAAACTAATTAAAATAAGAAATTCTAACGATTGGCTAATTATAAAATAAGAAAGTAAAATTTAACTAAATTAAAATTTTCATAATCAACTAAACTGCTAATTAAAATAGAAAATTGAATTCATAATGTAAAACACTAAATAAATAAGAAAATCAAATAAAGAAAAAGAAACAAAGGTAAATCCTCATTTAACACCATTTTCCCTACATCAGATTGTTGCTGCAATTGCCAGGACTCCAACAGCCGTGAAATTAGTGTGGATCGTTAATAAGTTGGTTTGACGGTTCAAAAGAGTTGTGAAATTAGAAGTCCATGATCTTGCAACTGCTATACTTCCAGTTGTGATGAACGTTGCAAAGTCTCGTAATTCAATTCATAAGTAAGCAAATGATCCACCTGCTACTGGGATCTCTATTGCAAATTCCGTGTAGCAGAAGACAGAGAGCATTGTAGAAACACCAGAAGCAACATAGGACAAACTAATGGCTGGTCTAGCATCTCTATTAGCATCCTGCCCTTTGAGCACAAAGATACCAACTCCAATAAGCGCACCAAATCCAAACCAGGTGAGATTCCACTAGGTTAGGCAACGTTTCATGTCATTCTCACTTTGTTTCCGAAGCACATCAATCTCATTGGCATCATCTAACCTGCTTATGAGACGATCCTTGAACTGAAAACGTGTCTGGGACAACACAGAAAGGTAGTTGGGGTGATAAATGCATTTGTGAAAGTGATTAACAGAAAGCTTGAGAGATAGAGGAGAACCACAAGGATCATGGTGTGAATGTATTTTTCTATCATAGCGTGTTAAGAGTAGTGTTGAAGAGGTATTCAAATATTTGCCTATGCATAGGAGCCACCGTTTAATGCACAAGTCAATAAGGGTAGGTGAAGTCAATTTGGTGTTATCGTGGAAAAAGGTAATAAAGTCAATTAAATTTAGTACTGTCACGTGTTTGGCGTCATATCGTACTAAATATATAATTAATTATTCAAATAAAAACACAATTATGTAAAAAAATCAAATTTTTTTAAAATAAAAAAAAATAATAAATCTTTTAAGAACAATTTTTAAAATTACAAAAAAATTTACTCAAATTTAATGAGTATCATATAATAATAATAATTCTTTAATTTACATTGTTTTTTTTTTTTTTAAAGTGAATCAAATAATTAGTTCTCAGTAAGCCCTGCAGATATATTTTTGTCAAAATAGTGTAGCCAAAGTGCCAAATCACAATCTAGTACACCCCAAAATTGGAGCTAAACATGTGGCAAAAGTAAATAAATACCGCAGCGAATGTGTTCATCCGCTTAATGCAGTCATACAACGAAACAATCACACCCATAAGGATTCTAATAAGATGACATTCGTTATATTTGTAAGGTTACTGGTACATTTTAAGAATGAAAATGATATAAAACAATAATATTATACTCACAAACCCTTTTTACTAACTTTTTTTCACAAAAGCAATATGTCAGCTCATAACTGGTCAGTTTATAATAGGTTCCGTTACCCAATAATGGATCCAAACTATCCAAATGTGAGATGTCATGTCAATGTTTGTGAAAGAAAGTTATGAGAAGTATTTGTCAACCTATTTTTATTCCATATAAAATTGTCTAGTAGGGTACCAAATTTGAAAGAGTTACCTCATTAATAGAGCATCCTTTACCATTTGATGGGGACTGATCTGATTTTGCAACAGTCCGAGCAAAAGAAAATGCAGGTTGGGTTGGTTTAGGAAGTTTTACTGCATCACTTACCAACATAACAACTACTGTTGACATGGTAGGTCTGTTTGTTGGATTTTTCTGAACGCATAATAATCTAATATGAATGAATTTTAATAATTCAACTGGAACACATGACTGCATCATTGTTGGTCCATTAGCTCTAATGCTTTTCCTTCACACCATAGCTTCCATGCCTAAAACATTAGGTAAGTAATGAACATAGATTAAGAGTATATCACTAAAGTCACATATAGAGATGGTTGCGCACATAAGCAATAAGGCTTTGGCTATCTTCTGAAAGATAAAATCCGGTATTTTTTCTCCCACTTATAATCTCTAATAGAAGAACTTCAAAACTAAAAACGTTTGACTTAACTGAAAATATTCCATTTATAGCATACTCTGGAGCCATATATCCACTATAAAACATTCAACCAATAAAAAAGGAAAATAAGTTCCAATAATGAGTATTTTTTCAGGTAATGAGGTTAAATCTATAAAAGCATATTTTTTTTCAAGATTTTTTTTTTTTTTTTCCAAAGATAAAGGAAACAAAATAAAATTGTAAGAAATGTGTACTCACTATGTTCCAACAACTCGGTTGGTATTAGCTTCAATTTGGCTTCCACAAAATATCCTCGCCATTTCGAAGTCTGATATCTTTGGTTTCATCTCATGGTCTAATAAGATATTACCAGTTTTGAGATCATGATGAATAATTTTAAGTCGAGAATCCTCATGCAAATACAAAAGACCCCGTGCAATGCCATTAATGATGCTTACACGTTTCTTCCAGTCCAAATGAATACCCTTTCTTAAATCTGACAATAAAGTCATCAAAATTAGCTTGATTTCATCCTATTGCTTTCTAGCTATGGAAGAAAGTGAACAAGAATAAAATAAATGAAAAGAAGAAAAAAGCCTTGGATGCTATTGCAAAGCGACTATTTATGTTCCACAAACTGTGTAGAGTGTAGACCATCAAAGATAGCCATTCCAAAGTCTAATATCTTCACTAAATCATAATACACATACACCGAGTTGCTGAACTTCACACCCAGCTATTAAGATAATGCATATCCAAGCCTTACTTAATTTTCATGTATACAGTAACTAGCTAACATTAACAGAGTTTGAGAGGCAAACCGAATAGGTGGAAATTAAGGCTCTTGTTGGGCATGTACTCATAGATGAGAAGCAATTCTTTTTCCTCTAAGCAACATCCCAAGAGTCTCACAAGATTGTTATGTTGTAATTTGGCAATTAAGACAACTTCGTTCTTGAACTCTTGTAGCCCTTGCCCAGATGTTGTTGAGAGCCTCTTTACTGCAATTTCTCTACCATCTGCTAACACACCCTGAAAGGAAATCTCCATTGTTACCATAAAACAACCGGGGATATAAAAAAAAGAGAAAAAACACAAAAAAATAAAAAAATAAAAAGAGAAGAAAATTTTAGAATAACTTTAGGATATGCAGCATTATTGCTAAAAAAAGAGAAAAAACACAAAAAAATAAAAAAATAAAAAGAGAAGAAAATTTTAGAATAACTTTAGGATATGCAGCATTATTGCTTTTCATATCATCCAATAATTATTATTTACCTTGTACACAGGACCGAACCCACCTTCTCCTAGCTTGTTTTCATCAGAGAAATACCCTGTAGCCTCAAGGATTTGGCCTAAAGGGAAAATAGGGAAGTCTTTAGATTCCCCTTGATGCCTCTCTTGTAAAACATTATGCTCATCTCCTAAACGAAGTACTTTAAGTGCTCGTCTTTTTGCTTTCTCCTCTGCAAGACACATTGAATTCAACAATAATACTGTAACTATATATATGTTATATAACATTACATATAAAATTTATTACCTTTATATCTTCTCCAAGTAGGTAGCAGGAAAAAACCAGATAGCAAGAGTACTAGAATTGTTGGTATAATTGTCCCGATTGCGATCCATATTGCTTGCCTTCTTTTTCGAGCTTACAGGAGCAAATATTTTTGATTTATCAAGTCTTGTTGTAATATAAAATGGAATTACTCTTATTACATTCAACATGAGCTGTTAAAGCATCAAATATACTTTAAATCCTCTAATCCTAAACGTATCAGAACAATTAGATTAAAAAAAAAAAAAAAAAAAAAAAAATTAAGAATTATATGACATAATATTACTGAGTATACAAATTCATATATATAATAGAATTGTATATATATAGACACTGATTAATTTAGATTTGTTATAAATAAATAATTGGATATTTATATGGAAATTCAACGGGACATTTAGTTTTTTAATAATATAAGTATAATTCCATAAATTTTTACTTAAAAATTGAAAATTTTATTGTTTATTAAATTAATAATTTAAAGACTTTATCCAATATTATGTCGCCTAACAAACACAACCTAAATATATTGTATACGAAAAATAATTCAATTGTAATAATAAATATAAAAGTGGCTCACATCATAAAAAACAATTTTCATATAAAACTATTACTGGTATACTGGTTTGATGTTGTATTTTATGTTAGTGAGGGTATTTATTTATTTATTTTAAATAAAACTCGACCATAGGCTAAGGAAAAAAAATCGTTCTTAAAATAAATAAATAAATAAAATGCCATAATCCCATTTTTTCAGAGAGTACCTATTTGTGATGGCATATGTTTAAAAATAGGCGGTTTCGGTGGCATAGCTTGAACAACAGGCGGTTTCGGTGGTATCGGTTCCTCTTCCGTTGCTGGTGCTGGTGCTGGTGCTTTTGACGGTGAAAGTGTAGGTGGAGTCGGTGCCTGTTTGTATGGTACTGTCCGTGTTGCATTCGGAGTCGGTGCCTGTTCGTATGGTACTGTCCGTGTTGCATTCGCAGTCGGTCCCGGTTTGTATGGTACGACTGTCCCTGGTGTATTCAGAGTCGGTCCCGGTCCTGCATCAGTTGATTGGTTTACTTGTTCCAGTAACCGTGCCGATGCCCGTACCGGTGCCGGCTCCAATGTTGAAAAGAAGCTTTCTTTAAAAAATAAGTAGAACTCAAACCGAGCACTACAACTCGGAGTAAAAACTCTTCCTCCTTTCTTTCCCCGGCAACACTCTGAAAACTCTGCATTAACTTCTTCAAGATATCTAGAACAATCTCCACTGGACAGGTCCTGCGTGCACTGTACTAGACCATACAATGTTTGATTAATTCTCAAGTTCTCCCTCTTTACACCCGCAAATTTATTCGGAGAATAAGCAGCTTTCCTCGCCGCTTCGCTCATCAAACGCAACACTACCGCTACCAAATCATCAGCCTTTTCTGGTTCCGTAACATTTTCGGGGCTTGGCATCGAAATACTGGAATCTTCAGCCACGAGGGAAAAGAAAGGTTGGTTTGAGTAACGTAAATGGCACTCATCATACCATATTACAGCTTCTTTTTTAATAGGGCAGTGTTTGGTTACATCTCTGATGGCAGAAATTACACAGTCGTGGCAAGCAGGGGAGTTGAGATCGCCGCGGCAAAGAAAGAGACCGTAAACCTTGTCGGGGTCTTCGCCTGAGGTGGTCTCATGGAAAACAACGTTGGAGGGAAGAGAAGAGAAGAGAAGGTTGAGGTTGGAGTGGTCGGTGTGTTTACGGTGAAATTCTTTGTGGGTGGGCAAGAATAAGCGAGGAATGTTGGGGGGATAAATGTATTTGCGAAAGTGATTATCAGAAAGCTTGAAAGATAGAGGAGAACCACAAGGATCATGGTGTGAATGTATTTGTCTCTCAAGTAGTGTTGAAGACTTTAAGATGTATTCAAATATTTGCCTATGCATAGGAGCCACCATTTAATGCACGAGTCAATAAGACTCGGTGAAGTCAATTTAGTGTTGTCATGGAAAAAGGTGTAGAAGTCAATTAATTTGTGGAAAATTAGAACATATACAGCTAAGCTAATAGATATGAACTTCAAGATATTTAGACCTAAAATATGACTTTGAATAGTTACTTTAACTCTCACACAAAAAATTGAGTTAAATCTTGCACATAGTACTAGTTGATTGGAATTTGCAAATATTGGTCGAATTTTGTTAAGTTCTATCATAAATTTAGATTTAAAAAAAAGCTTACACTCGCACTGGACAAAAACTTAGAAAATATTTGATTTGTAATAACTAAACCTTAGATACCTCTGCATAATTAGCTTGAAGTGTGATGTGTTTATTGAATTTTGATGAATTAATGCTTCAATCAATTTAACGATTAAATACTAAGTTATTGTTATTAGCTAAGGCATATAACCTTATTTAAATCAACGTCCTTATGTTCACGTATCAATATAACTAGGCTTAAAATAGACTCTGCTGAAAATTAGAACATATACAGCAAAAATAAAAATTCAATTCTTAAAGACAAGTTGGGGTTATATTTTACATTTAAGTGAGAAAAAAACTTACGTCGAACGGTTTCACCACATCATATTGTTGATCATCCAATACGAGTCTACATGTGTATGATTAAATTAAAAATTCAATTTTTTTAACATCTTTTATTTTCTCTCTTTACCGGAGTTAAACAAAATGGGGTTTTAGTATTTTATAGGAATTCTATCTCTATCCTCTTCTCCGTTAATTGCCTATGAAGTTTATGTTCTCTACCAATTTTTCATGTTCCACATCAGTCTACCGTTCTGCTTCCCTTCGTCATTCTCTGTTCAATCGCCAACGGTCGAAAACTCGTTGGTCAACTCCAATTCTTCTTTATTGAGACATTTGTTTTATTTGTTGGAGTTTATCAATAAGATATCAAACGGTTTAAATATACAAAATCCAAATCTAAACAAGTGTGTAGGAGTTCAATTTTTTGTTTAATTATCGGAGAATTATTCAACAATATTTTCAAAATCTGTGTTTGAACTCTCGAAAATAATATGGTTATATGCCAGTTCCAATACAGTGCTTTTTTGATCTGATTACGATTTTTAATTAACGAGTCCAGCCCTGGGCATGGTGAGTGGTAATCAGCTTTGCATCAGAGACTCAGGTTAAGAGAAATGAAAATGCCTCTTTATATATTGAGAAAGATGAAAAGAAAATGTATTTTAAAATAAAATATTGTTATGACTCTCTTATGGCAAAATTGTATTGGGTGGTTTTACCACGTCAACAAAATGATTTGGTATGACTCTCTTATGTAAGTTTTTCTCCTATCAAGTCGACAGGATATGAGAATATTTGTCATTTCTTTATGTAAGTTTTTCTCCTATCAAGTCGACAGGATATGAGAATATTTGTCATTTCTTTAAAGACAGAATAATATTTCGACCTCCACTCTATTGTGAGAGTACAACTTTCCCCTATAGTTTCAGGTTGAATTGAGGTGTTAAAACATAATGTAATATTATGAATTGATGATAACAGAAAACAGAGAGAAGATTTTTCTAGAGAAAGTGATCGGAACAAAAAGAAAAACTAAATTGCAAAAACTGAAATATTTTTTCATGTACATTTCCAAATACCAGATATCTTTATATAGTTACAATCTCGGCAATGCTTTATTTTCTATCGTTGATTATCATTACAATCTGAGCATCCCAAGTAGTTGATAGTTGATGTTGATTGTTTTCCTCAATCGTTCCACAGAGTATAAATCCTCCATAGTCACACATTTCTGGTAAAAGGGCGGGAAAGGTTGTTCTTCAATCCGTCGTTAACCTTTTTAACAGTTTATACCAGACCTCTATCAAACACCAGCCAAAAGCTTCTGTCAAGTCACCAGATTTTTTGCATCTGATCTTCCTTAATTGAGCTTCTGTTTGAGTGCAACTTGTACTCATGACATCAACCCTCAAGCAAAACTCAAGCAGAAAAAACAAAAAAAAAAAAAAAAAAAAAAAAAACTTGTTTTCAAACATGATAAGGACTTGTACTCAATGAGATGTATTTAATGAGAAAGATCTGTGCTTCTATGTCCTCAAGGGTTGATCCTCGTCCCTCAGACCAAGACTTGGATGACTATCAGTCTCGTCCCTCAGACAAGACTAGGGCTGAAGAAGAGAAGTATAAGCCGAGGTAGAGAGTTAGGGAAGTACAGTAAGACAGTCACAAAGTTGCTGAAAACGAGGACCAGACAATGGTTTAGTAAGAAGATCAGCTACTTGAAGAGCTGAAGACACATATTGGATTGGAAGCAACCATCTCGCGCACAAAATGAATGTCAATTTCAATGTCCTTGGTGCGAGCATGAAAAATAGGATTACAAGCCAAAGCACCATCACGAGCATTGTCACACTAGAGAATGGGAAGAGCAGAATGGAAATTTTTAATTCCTTAAACAAGTTTTGCATCTAGGCAATTTTTGTAGAAGCATGGGCAAGTGTACAATATTCAATCTCAGTAAAAGACAATGCAAAAATAGCCTGCTTTTTGGAGCTCCACTAGACTAAGTTGGGACCAAGATAAATACAATAGCCACTATTCGACTGACAATCAGAGAGACTGCTGGCCCAATCGACATCGACATAACCTTCTAATTTTAATTCAGAACCAGATTGTCAAGTGAGACCAAAATGTGTGGTACCTTTGATATACCGCAATACATGTTTGCAAGACTGCTAATGATGGACAATGGGTGATTTGAGGAACTGACTAAATTTGTTTACAACATAGGAAAGGTCTGGCCGTGTTAGTGTTAGTTATTGTAAGGCACCAACAATGCTACGGTAGACAAAAAGTTGATCAAACAGAAGGCTATCTTCAAGACTAAGCTTCGAGCCTACAACAGTAGGAGTAGTGCAGGGATTGCAATTGTGCATGTTAGCCTTGAGAAGAAGATCATTGGCATATTCAATGCCGAGAAAGTAATGCAGGTTGCCAAGAATTTTAAAAGCAAACTATTGATTTAGATCATGAACAACTTGATCAATTAATTTAGAGTTATTATTCGTGATCACTATATCATCAACATATCAGCATATGCAGAACATCATATCCTTTATTGTAGTAGGAAAGGTTGGCATCAAAGGTTGAGTTCTTAAAACCCCACTGTAACAGAGCAGTCTTAAGGTTGTCAAACAATGCCCCCCGAGCCTGTTTTAAGCCATATAAGGCTTTATGAAGTCTACACACATGATTTGGATGAGCATAATTATCAAAACCCTCAGGCTAAATCATATAGACAGTTTCCGTGAGATCGCCCTTTAGAAAAGCGTTGTAGACATCAATTTGCTTAACCTACCATTCATGAAACATTGCCTAAGAAAGAATAATTCGAATATTTGATGCCTTGACAACCTGAGAAAAGGTTTCCAAGTAATCCAAGCTAGGGGTTTGATGAAATCCCTTGGCTACCAACATGGCCTTATACCTCTGCAATGTACCATAAGCATTGTATTTTACATGAAACACCCACTTGTTTCCTACTAGATTCATGTCAGGAGAGAAAGGCACCAGTGACCAGGTTCCATTGAACATAAAGGCCTCATATTCATCTTGCATAGCTTTCTTCCAATTGGAATCCTATAAAGCAAGTGTCACTGACTTAGGTTCACTAGGTTGGGCATAAACTGTTGAGGTCAATAGAGCAATAGCTTTAGCTCTGCTGATCACGGGTTGACTGTTATGAGGTTGAGAAGTAGTAGTAGTGGTGGTAGAATGAGCAAGAATTCTCAAATTGACATAAATAGGTATACTAGGGAAAGGTGAACTAGAGGGACTGTTGGTAAAGGAGTCAGAGCTACGCTGCTTAGGTAGTGAAGATGGTGTATATGGGGATGTGTTTGAATTTGGAAAAGTGGAAGTAAAAGGTTAGGATGTATGGTTGAGTTTTGGTGATGGAATAATCCAAGTATTAGAAGTTGGGGAAGAGGAAATGTCAAAGTTTGATAATAAGCTGTGACCGGGAATTGGAAAAACCCTTTTTGAAAGGAAATACTATCTCATCAAACTTAATTGTTTGAACAATATAAACACTTCCGGAGCTATTTAAGTAGAGATAACCATTGTGGTGAGAGCTATAACCCAAGAATACACAATGTTTACTATAAAAGGAAAACTTGCGTTTTTGGTAAGGCCTAATGAAAGGAAAACAAAGACAACCAAAGGTTTCAAGTGAGTCGTAATTGGGCAGTTTGTGAAATACGAGCCCAAATGGAGAGTGATGATTGAGAACAAATAAGGGTAATCTGTGTAATTTTTAAAGAGGTTACCAAGTGATTAAAACTTATGTGGCATGGGTTGCTTGTTCAATTTTTAGAGCAAATGAGTTGTGAGAGACACAAGGAAAGCATACAACAAAGCAAGTAAAGAACACACTCATTTTTATAGGATTCGGCATCAAGCCTACATCCAGGGGACCAAGTCCAGAGGAAGCAAATTCACTGTAAAATACTTATGAGTTTAAATACAAAGCAAGATAACCAAAGTTGCAAAACAATCCCTATTTTTAACATGACAACTCTATCTTCTTTTGTTGAACTTCAAGTCCTCGTAGCAAGCTTCACGTGCACAGCAACATCATGTTGAAATTGAGCTCCTCTCAAGTCTCAACAACGAAGGCAAATCTTTAGAACAGCAGCTTACCCACAAGCTCTCATCAACATAGAATCAAGATCCAAAGTC